TTAATCTTTGATGTGTGTTGTGTACCACAAAACCGCCCTTATACCAATACGATAGTATTCTGTCGTCATTTAGGATAACTTTGTGCCCCAACTTTAATACGTCATTATAATTTTGTACTAGGATGATCAATTTAGAAAACTAAATTAAACATTCCTAAGTGCATTTTTTGCAAGTCAATAATATTACTTGAGTATCTAAGCAGTGTTGCCGTTATTTATGAAACTTTTTTGTATAATCACTTATTAGTGTTGTATGTTCTTATTTATGCATTCATATTATGTCTAATGTCCTATGCAAGTCAATATACCTAATTAAGTAACTGCAAGAATCCTTAATAATTGGCAACATAGCTGTTATAAGTATATTATGTACTTTATTATTATAACAAATGTTTTATGTAAATAAGCACAAATGTAATGCCACTATTGAACTTCAGTGTTTTGGGCTGTCACGGCCAGTATTGGTGATTCCAATATTAGCGTTGTGGTAAAAATCAAGATTAATAAACTTATTGTGAAACCTTTTTGTGCATTTTAATTTATTGAGACTACAGAATTTCGGTTAGGAAATGTAATTAGGGAGTTCAAACCGCTATGTGTTGGCAACCTCAAAAATAAAAGCAGTTACACACGGTGACTTAGCAAGTGTGGTGGCGGCAATTCAGTCGCGATTACCGTTGGGAAATTTTCCGAAAAATTTAAATTTGGAAATTTCTGAAAATTGGAATACTACCATTCGAAGGTTCGTGTTATCGTATTAGTATAATATAATAGAAGTATTATTTAGCAAGTTAGAGAAAAATGGTTGGACAACAGCGAAGAAAAGAATCTTAGGTAAGAAAAATTTAATATTTCTAGTGACTCCAACGTTTTCGTTCAGTATCTTCAACTTTTGACAGATATCAAATGTGGAAACATTTATTTTTCTGAAAAATGTGAAGTTTTCGAAATGGAGATTTTTCCATGACCCTACAGCCAGCGTTGGGCGTCAATCATTTCAATCAGATTAAAAAATCAATTACAATTGATTTTAATTGCAATAAAATTAATTGCATTTAGTTTTTTTAGTTGTTCTGAGAAACAATTGAAACTAACAATTAAAACCGAAAGTACCGAATAAAAGTGTCATTACGAATATGGGTTAGAGGTGTCCTAAGACACCAGTCGGTTCAGTTAGGGGGTCGGTTTGGGCGCCGGTAGAGCGTCCGATTAGGTTAGGTAGGGGTGAGTGTCCCACCCCCTAACCGACCACCTAATCCAACCCAAATCCTAACCCATCCCCATATGCCCTATAAATTTATCATAATTGTCAGTTTTAATTGTTAATCAAAAACACTGAAAAGATTGAAAATTGATTAATTGCTAATTGTAGGTATACGCGATTAACGATTGATCAGTTGCGAGAACCGCAATTAACATTTAATTAATTGTTAATTGTGGTTCTCGCAACTAACAATTGATCAATCGTTAATTCCTGTTACGCAATTGACAATTAATTAATTGTCAGAACAATTAAATTTTGCCTAACACTGCCTACAGCTCATCGTCTACACACATGACGTTTTGAGTCAACATCAGCGACTGCGTCGCTACAACCGCATATAAATCGAAAGTGTCGCGCGTATATATCGCTGCTAAAAGTCACCACCACTCTAATTGTTAAGTTGGCATTAGTACGAACGTCGCACCAACATAACGGAAAACATTGTTCAATTCCCGCGTGTGCGCGCCATTGCATGACGGCAGAGTAAATATTTCACAACTTTACCTTGCTGTCATTTTGGCAAAGGGTGATATCGAACACTATGATTGACTATTCTACATTCTATCATTTAGGCTGAAATTTATAAAACCAACACACTTTAACTTCGACAAAGCAATAACTTTGTCCAAGTTTAAACAAGAAATTAAATTAAACTTTGAGTTTACTTTGTAAATACGGAAAACTTCTGCTTAGCTCGCCATTTTTGCTTGTCGAAGTCAGTCCGTTTTGTAACTCAATAATATATGCTAAATAATTCTTTCTCAGAGTAGGTAGTAACGCATTTCTTTTACTTATTATGATTATTGTATTGTCTATTAGAATTTTCAAAATATGAATGAACATTAGATTATTTATTAACCAAAAGTGCATTCGAGATTTAATTCTTTAGAAAAAATGTCAGTGGTCTTTTCCCTAAATTAATTATTTGGTATTTATTAGTATTTATGACGGTCTAAGTTTATTAAAATGCTATTATGGATTACTAGCTGGTGCCACGACTTCGTCTGCATAGAATAAGTGCTTCGAGTAGCCTACTGTACTACTTATTTCAGAAATTATTGGTGCTCCATACTTCTTTTTTATAAGACAATATAAGTGGGCGTTTGACCGCTTTGACCTACATCTCACCCGATGGAAAGCGACGATGTAGCATGCACACTTAAATAATGCCTGTTCACTCTCGCCTTGAAGAGTCCCAAATTATAGCGTTCAGGGAACAAAACCCCAGGCAGGGAATTCCACTCTAACCGTTCGTCATATAAATGTGGAAGCTTTGTCTTTGAAATATTCACAACATGGATCCTCAGCCTACTTCTAGTCCCACGATGATGGAATGGGGAAGGCGGAATTAAATCAGCAATTCCTTCGTACGCTGTACCATTATAATATATCCTGTAGAATACTGATAAGCAGGTAATTTTACGGCGGTGCACTATGGAAAATAGTAGAACAACGGCGTATCAAAAATGGTTTTGACCAATATCTTAATTGAAATACACATATAATTTTATTGATAGTTTAGTAGATGTCATACTTTATTATACTGAAGGTTTTTTATGTTAGATAGGTATGTTGATTTAATAAAAAATACATACAAAATGTCCTTCCCGTACTCATCTCGTTGTGCCGTATAATTTTGGAACTTTCGACGTATAAAATATAATAAATATAAAGCACATCTTATGTAAATGTAAATGTCAAAAATAGTTGACATTTTTCAAATTTGTTCTGTAATGTAAAGAAAATTAAATCATAATTAAAAATGGAGACATTAACCTACCTTTATCAAATTCATCGAAGGTTTTGACTGTTAGCGAAGCTTGCCGAAGCTACGAATTTTGTATTATTTCATAGCGTAGGTATTCATTATCAAAATTTTATAAAAATCAGCTGCGGTTTCTAAAGATATGAAAGAAATTGTACCAAATGTCCTACCGCAGAAAAATACCCTTATCAAAGCAACGCGACAACATAATATGGATGCGGTTGCATTTATCATATTTATCGATATTATTCACACTACACCATTACTATATAATACTCTGACACATCAATTTCATAAATTTAGTCGTTTTTGTTACTGAATATACTTTTCCAACTAACTTGTAAATGAGTAAGTACTTTCAAATGTTTTAGACGAGAACTAATACTTTCCTACATTGAAGGTGGAAGAAATGAATCGGCTCTAGAAACATTTTTGCGAGATTGTAATGAACTTTCGGAGAACAATTTACATTTGATAATTAGTGATTTAAAAAAAAATTTGGTAACATAATTTAACAGTCGATGGAGCCCAAGCATCACGAAACAAAGAAGCCTTTTTGAGGGTTAACATTGATTGGTTGGATCAAGAGTTTTCTTTTACTTTGTCAACGACAATCGATTCCATTAAATCTACTTCAATTGGAAAACGAGAAAGAAGACCATGTATGTCTTATGAAAATTCTTCAGAATCTAGTAACAAGCTCAAAAATACTACACTACTTAATTAATATGGATTCGAACACGTCTATGGTGCATATATTCAAGGGCTGCGATCAAAGGGAGAAAGTAATGAAGCGAAAATCGTGGAGGCATTGAGGTCTGCAGATGCAGAGAAAAAAATATCAGTGCTAAAATTGATGGACAACTCTAATACCATCCAAACGCTGAGCAATCAAGAAGCATTTATTGAATTGGATCTGACCAGGGCTCAACATTCATATTTGAAGAATGTTATGGATGAACGGAACTGTTTCTTACTAACACCTTAATACAAAGTACAAAAAAGCAAACAGAACTGTTACCCACTTACAAACACATGTGCAAAAATGTCATCCCTACAGGATTTGTTAGATCACACAACGGCGAGGATACTGATGATAGATTCCGTGTACAAAAACTGTTTGAAACAGTTGGTTTTATACAGTAAATGGGGATGTGACGGCTCGTCTGGTCAAAGTGAGTATAAACAAATACTTCCAAAGGAGTCTGAATTTGTGTCAGACTCATTCTTATTCCTCGCATCTGTTGTGCCCATCAGATTAATTGATGGAACGACTGGTCTGTTGTTTGGCAAAATCCTGTGCCTTCATCCGTGTGATTCTGTCGCCCTATTTTAATTGAGTTTTCGAAAGAAACTCCTGAGAAAACTAAAGTTGTAGTTAACGATATTCAAAATCAAATTAATTCTTTGAGTCCATCGTTGATTGTTAAGGAAGGCAATGGCGTTCAAGTTGAACATTAACTTTTTTTGACCATGATAGACGGCAAATTAGCTCAGGTTTTAA